AAAGGAGGATCGGACATTGTCAGCGCGGTAAGAATAGCAACCCAGCCTGGCGGTCCCTCGCCATCCTCGGCGGGCGCTCTCCAGGCCGAGGGCTCTGCTAGCAGGGGGGCAGGAGAAAAGGGGTGGGTGTGTGTGTTTGCGTGTCAGGGTCCTTGGGAGACGAAAGAGCCCAGAAAATGGGACCACCCTCGGTCAGTTTGGGCTTTGATTGGGATTCCTCCTTTGACCAAGGCGGCTGGACTTGATGGCCTTCGCGGCCCCCTTTCCATCGCCATGATTCCATGATTCTAGAGGTTGGCTGAAAGATGTCTGGGGAATCTGGCGTCGATCAGCCGGGATTTTGCGTTTGGCCACCTGAAAAGCATCCTCTAGGACAACCATGTGAAGCTGGGGGTCGTCACCACGCCTCCCATTTCGCAAAAAGGAACACTCGGCTTCTCGTGGGAAGACTGCAAAGGGGGTTCACAGCCCGAAGCAGGGATCCTGCAGCAACACACTTCGAAACTCTCTCTCTCTCTCAACACAACACCTCCTCCCGTTTCACATTCCCTCTCTGCAGGGCTCAGCTTTGGTTTCACAACAACATATTTATTAAAGATTCAAAGCATGAATACTCAGGGCTATCGACAACCCGAGATTTTCTACTCAAGGGTGAAATCTGTGAATGAGACCTTAACGACTTCCTCCATCGTTTCTCTTACCATGATGGTAAATATTTAAAACACATGAAACATCTCTCTGTGTGTGTTTCAGTTCGTTCGTTCGTTCGTTCGTTAAGTCGTGTCCAACTCTTCTTCATGACCCCAAAGGGTGAAATCTGTGAATGAGACCTTAACAGACTTCCTCCATCCTTTCTCTTACCTTGATAGCAAATATTTAAAACACATATGATGTATGGGTGTGAAAACTAGACAGTGAGGAATATGGTACTGGGATAGAGTTTTGCAGATACCCTGGATCGCAGAAAAACAAGCAGGTTCTATCAAGCCTGAACTTTCTCTGGAAGCAGAAACGAGGAAACTGAGGCTATCCTACTTTGGACACTTTGTGAAAGGAAGGACTCGCTGGAAAAGACAATAATGCTGGGAAAGGCGGAAAAGAGCAGGAAAGGAGGACCAAACAGGAGATGGAGTGACTTGTTTCTCTCTCCTGTCAAGGATTTTTTTTACTTCTAGTACACACGTAAGCTTTTCATGTCTCCTTGTGTTCTTGAGTCACAGCTCGGCAAAATGTATATTTTTGCACAATTCAGCATATAACTCAACCAGGAAGGCCAGTGGATGAAACCTTCTGGAATGCTGTGTTCAGTGCTGGGCACCACAGTTTAAGAAGGATATCAAAAAGTTGGGACATGTTCAGAGGACGTTAAGCCAAGATGGTAAAAGGTATGGAACCCCAGCGCTGTGTGGAATGGCTAGCATATAACTCAACCAGGAAGGCCAGTGGATGAAACCTTCTGGAATGCTGTGTTCAGTGCTGGGCACCACAGTTTAAGAAGGATAATAAAAAAGTTTGGACATGTTCAGAGGATGTTAAGCCAAGATGGTAAAAGGTATGGAAACCCAGCGCTGTGTGGAATGGCTGAGGGAGCTGGACTGTAATGGCCACCTTCCCATATGTGAAGGTCTGTCATGTGCTCGGTGGCGTGACCTTTTTTCCCCCCACAGGTCCTGAGGGTACGACCCAAGGTAGTGGATTCGAATTACAAGAGAGGAGATTTCACCTAAACATTAGGCAGAACTTCCTAGACAGTAAGAGATGCTTGACGGTAGAATGGACTGCCATCATCGTTGTTGTTGTTGTTGTTGTCGTCGTCATCATCATCATCACAGAACTGCTGAGCTGGAAGGGACCCTCTGGATCATCCAGTCCAGCCTCTGTCAAGGAAGCACCCAAAGAGGGAATCGAATTCCCAACCTCTGGCTCTGCAGCCGGAGACCTCAACCACAGAGCTCTCCAGAAATGAAGGATGGCAGGATTCATCGGAGATGTTAAAAAACAGAGGTTGCAGGCCTATCGGGCAAAAACAAAAGAAAACTAAAACATAAAGAAGATGTAAAAATGTCATGGCACCTGAAAGATTAATGGCTCTGTTTTATTGTGGCTTTGATGGATAAGTCAGAGGAAGGTCTGAGGAAGTCCAGCAAAGCTCACATTAAAACACAGCCGTTAATCTGTAAAGTGGCGCAACATTTTTGTGTTCTTTATAAATAAATAAATGTATAATTTTTGGGGGGGGGTTATGGTTGACATGCTGGAGTTTCGTTGGTTGGTTGGTTGGCTGGTTGAAAATATTTTTATTCGGCCTTTCACTTTGAAAAGGACCATATTTAAAGCTGAGAACAATGAGTGTACAAGAGTGGTTTCCATCATTAAAAGACAACGTCCAAAGCTCAGAAGAGGGAGTATCAAGAGGGAGCTGACATCCTTTAAAAGACAATATTAAAGCTAAAACCCTAAGCGTGTAAATACGAAAAGGAAAGCAGAAGTGAAAGGCCTTCCCAGTGGGTTGTGCCGGATGACCCTGGGGTTAAACCACCCGCCCACCGCCGCCACCTTTGCTCAGACTCTGCTCTGGGCCACATTTTATCACTCGCAGCCGGAGGAATGTGAATGTGGGAAGAGAAAGAGGATTTCCCATTTTGCCTTTCTCCTCTCCAGCAAGCTTTCCAAAAGGGGTCTTGGGTTACGGGTGAGATCCCTCATCTGGAAGCTCCTGGGCCCTTCCTCGGCTTCTCTCCTGGGTCCCTCATGGCTCAAAAAAGGCGCTTCCTCATGGACTCGTGGTGCCCAGGCTGACTCGTCCGGCGGCAGCTGCT